TAAAACTGAAGTGAATTGCCAACTCACATGGACGGACACAAGAAACATGCCCTTGACTAACAAGGTAAAACTATGCTTCAGTAGTTCAGTACATGACTGGACTGGATTAGCCTACTTGCGTCAAAGTATTATTTGTATTTCCGGTCTTACGATTATGGGACCATTCCTAGTCTTAGCATTCAAGTGTCATTATTGCTACTCATGGGATCAAAAGTGGAATAAATTTCACGTTTGACAGGAACATCAATTACTTAAGAGTGTCTAAAACAACGAGTGTATTTTGCAGGAACATCAATTACTTAAGAGTGTCTAAAACAACGAGTGTATTTTGCAGGTTATCTCGGAGACCTTAAGGATGTCAAGCATTATATCTTTCACATTCAGAGAAGCAATTGATGATGTAGAGTACAACGGTAAGCTTGTACTTAAAAATTAGTTATACAATCAATGACCCATGACTTTTTTTGTGAGACTAAGGTAAAAAAAAATGTGGTTTTAGGGTACCTAATTCCAAAAGGGTGGAAAGTGTTGCCCTTGTTCAGGAACATTCATCATAACCTGGAGTACTTTACTGATCCACAAAGCTTTGACCCTTCAAGATTTGAGGTATAATATCTTCTGTTTACATATGTTTTTCATACTTGCAATTATAATGCTTGGGTTTTACCTCTGCAAAAATTGATCTTTTGTTTTAGGTTCCTATTTTTTGTTTATCCTTATAATTTACGTTGTTTTGTTTTTAACCACTCTCTGTCAACCTCCATATCATAAGTGCCACGGTATTCATTCGATTAAGATAGACAAAAAATAGCTGTAAATTAAATAATCAATTCCACTTTTGGTTCTTGGTTGATGAGATTAAAATTGTTGTTTTGTATGTGCACACAGAATTGCAGGAAACCCAATACATTTATGCCATTTGGCAGCGGGATACACGCCTGCCCGGGAAACGAGCTTGCCAAGCTGGAGATGTTAGTGATGACACATCACCTAGTAACCAACTTCAGGTACTGCACAAAATAAGATTAGACTGGATAATGGTCCTGCACTGCATCTATTTCCTTTCTGTCACAGGCTTTGTTTGTTTGCTGACTCAAATACATGACAATGGCATTTTATTTTTGTCTGTGTTTGGTGATTGCGTGGGTACAGGTGGGAAGTGGTGGGATCTCAAGAGGGGATTCAGTATGCCCCATTCCCGGTTCCTCTCAATGGCCTCCCAACAAGATTTTGGCATGAATCTGTTATCTAAGCCCCATCATATCATCATCATCATGGGTTCATCATCTGTTTTCTTCTGATCACATCACAATTAAGGATATAAATGTACATTTCATTGCAGTGATGTTTGCTCAAGTGTTTTTTATTTTTTTGTTTGTTATTTATGTGATGAATATCAATTCTCCTGTCCCAACATTGCCTGCCTTTACAGCTAGCAACTTTCATCATCTGCACTTGAAGAAGTGGAAAATGTACAAATTGATTGAAAGAAAATAAAATGTGCACTCCTTTGTCTTGCCTTTTTCTGACCTAAAGATGAGCTGGACTTTCATTTTCCTGTGCCTTGGATTGGAACTGGTTCATAGTTGTGATCTTTAAGTAAATTTTCACATTTAGTCCCTTCAATTTTAGTTTTTCTTTTCTTCGCCACCACTTCCATAATCTGATTGTTTTTAAACGGCGACTTATAAAATTTACACTTTTGATCCTCTATATTTGGGTGATGCTCTGTTCAATGATAAATGAATATCTCTACTTCCCAACATTTCTTCTCTCTTTTCGTTGATATATAAGTAACCCTAGTCTAACATATCTTCAAAACTTTCTAATTGTTCTTTGAGTTTCATCTCAATTGCATTAAAAGTCTCATGAATGTGCTTGCAATGTCGAAGCAAAACTTTTCACCTTGATTATATTCCTCAAATTGATTTTGAGATAACTTGAACCCTAAGGAATATGATATGGGCGTGCTTTATTGTTATTACTACTACTATTATTGTTGTTGCTGCTAGTATTAGTTTTCTATTAATACTGATAGTGTTATTTCTTTATTCAATTTTAGTTTGTTTCCTGGAGTTTTATGTTTCCTGTTGTGATTAGGGCTCTCACTATAGCACAATACAACTATACAAGGATCTCTAATATTGAAGAATTAATTTTTGGGTGTCTTTAAAATGTTGGACACTGGTTATTGCTGGTTTATATTTATTTTGTTTCTCCACTCTTCCATCCTCTTCTTTTAGATATGAATTTGCACCCCATGTTTGGAGTAGGCGTGGGACCGGTTCGGTTCCTAGGCAAAATATGTGGAACCGTTTGAAAATATGAAATTTTACTAACGGTTCGGTTCTTATAAATTATTTTATAGAACCGATAAGGAACCGAACCATTCTTAACGGTTCGGTTCTTGTCATTTAACGGTTCCTAGTCTTTGAAAAAATTCTTACAAATCACGACTAAATTTTTGTCAAAAAGACATTCAACGTTTGAAATTACAAAACAAATATGTTGAACCTGTTAAAGAGAATAATAGTTTTAAATAGTTTGGACCTTCCGAGTTCCGACCCGCTCGAGTTTGGACCTAATGAGAGGCCTGAGAAGCCTAAGAGAACCGGTTGAAGTGAATAATAGTTTTAAATAGTTGAATAACTAAACTAAAATAATGAATGGAATATAAAAATAAATAAGTAAATATACATAAAATATATATACTCGTAAGAAATATATATAATTTTAAATATTATATATAACGGTTCCTTAACGGTTCCTAGTACATATTTTTTTCAGGAACCGAGAACCGAACCGTTAATAAAAAATAGGAACCGGACCGTTAACAAATAACTAATAAATGTTGGAACCGAACCGAACCGGGTCATAACGGTTTGGTCCGGTTCGGTTCTCCGGTTCTTGGTTCCAAAGTCCCAGCCCTAGTTTGGAGTGATATTGGACTTTGTACCTATTTTACAAATCATTAATGTGTGCACCCCATCAATCCAAAAAAAATGTGGAGTAGAATGAAAAGTCAAATGATTTTATAACAAATTGGAGTGCATATATTAACGGTTTTGAAAATAGGGTGCAAACTTAAATACTCCCTTTTAATGACGTAAAAGAATGACTAAAATTGGAATTTTTCATTGATCTTTGCAAATGCCAGCTGTCTATGACATCCTCAGTGTGTTTCGTAATCAGAGGACTAAGAAAGAAGTGTTTGAGAATGTGATAAGACAAAGTGAGAAGGCTAATGTGCTCTCAGCTGGAGAGCACACACAATCAAAGACATTGATACTTCATTGCTTTAGGTTCTACTGGTACAAGCTTAGCCTGCAGCTAATAAATAAATGATTAAATGATGACATATAAAGAGAGAGCAATTAGTCAAGTAAGACAGCAGAAATTCTAGGATCCCTTTCTTAATCAGGCAAGTCTGGGATTAGAAAAACATCATTTCATGCGCATAGGACCCTTCCACTTTCCCAGTAGAATATAGGATCCAAAATCCAATTTATATCAAATGTTTTATCACTATTCTCAATAATGAAGATCACTATTCCAGCAGTGACAGATTTCAGAAAATATATATTGAGAACAGATTAAGAGCTTTTTGGTAGACAGTACCGCTAAAATTGGTTGAGTCGGTTGAATCCATTAAAATTGGTGAAAATTTGATTGAAGAGAATGAATTGCCCAAATATAATGAGTCATGGAAAATATTTTATCAAAAATATTTTTTATTAACAAAATCAAGATAAAGTTATACGAAAATAGCTAAAGTAATTACAACCTTACTATTATTATTTTAGAGTACAATCACAAGTACTCCAATAGCAAAAAACTCCTAATACAATACATCACAATTGCTTCCAACTTCATCTTTTGGAAATGACTTATTAGTTATTACGGCTTCATTGCGAAATTGTTGAAATAAAAGTGCACATCTTTTCCCATTTTTCAACATGATATGAGTTAAGTACTTGAACAATTCATCAAAAACATCAAAATGCATGTCATTTCAACATTAGCTATATATTAGACAAACTAAAGTAGTAATATCATGATTATAAACTATTCATTCTCAACAACAAATAGGAATATAGGATATATAATTCTTAAATCTGAAGTATATGGCTTGGACGCAAATAAATAGAGCTCAAATAAAAGATTCATGTATAAAAAAATATATGTTCATATATATAAGATTCAAATTTAGAACTAAAAAACCTGTTTAGACTATTAGACTTCAAAGAGCAGAGAAAAAAAGATGATGACTGCTATGGCGCCAATGGTGGCGACTTGCAAGTTGCAACCGCCTCTCAATTACTTCCGTCCACTGGCACACTTGTGTTTGATACTTGATACAAGAAATAAAAATTGAGATAAAAAAATTGAAATGATAATTAGGAAATTTATTGGGCTGTTGGGAGGAAATTGTACTTTTATTGGGGCACAAGCATGGGCTGGGCTATTAGGATTAGCAAGGCTTTATTGCGGGCAGCTGCCCCCTCCCCCATTTCATTGCTAAATCTGCCCTTGGTTCTAGGAATCTCCTCCTAAACGCTAGCCCTCTATTGAACGCCTCCAACATTTTTGTATTTTGGTCCAGCCTGACATGGCTAGGCCTCACGTACGCCTAAGGGTGGATCCCGTCCTAGTTCTGGAACCAAACCATGTCCAATCGACCTTTTGTTTGGAAGTCAGGCTGCTTTTCCTATTCGGGCCAGGAAAAGGTATAAACCAATTTAGTTTCTCCAAAACAGGACTGGGCCATTTCTGCCCTGTTTTTTAAAGGGTAAAGAACCATAACCTATTTGGAAGCAACCCAAGAACAAGAATTAGGTAATCAGTAGAATTACAGGTAGTTATATTTTTAAACCCAAAACCAGATGGTTTAGAACCGGAACCGCTCCATCCCTACCTAAGCTTCAGGTCTCAGTTTAGCTTTTCTTGCTTTTTCAAGCACTCATAGATACCATAGCAAGTTGACTCTAAAAACTATTGCTCTAACAAATACTGTATTACAGAAGAAATTCTTGTATCACTATTGAATTCGTAATATTTTAAACATCCTGAAACAGATTCACCATGTCTAAATACTAGTTGTTTGCACTGGGTATATTTACTCTCAATAATGATTCCAGCAAGGAAAATAATAAGTGGAATACAATTCAATATGGGTGCTAAGCACCAACAATAGATCAACACGAGTGCTTATCACCACCAAGAATGACACATTACTAAGGTACATGTAATACAAATTATTATTTTATTAATTCTAGTAACGTTAGTGCAAACCGGATCAACTTGGCCAAGTGTTTTCAGTATCAGGAGATGAGTATTTAAGAATGGCTGAAAGTATCCTATCTTTATCTCGTGTTGGAAAAGCTTCGAGCAGGACTCCATTTTTATAGAAGTGAAAAAGGGGCACTGTCTGCATCATATTCGAAAGCCTCAGTTTAAAAACTGAAGATAGATGAAAAATAATATATATGACTATAGAAGGGACACCATTTCCAATAAATTGAGAATGACATGAGCTACATCCATCTGCTAACACTCAAGTATTGAATCAGATAGTTTTACCCGGATTCGCAGCCGTTCAGCAACCTCAGATTGTTCATCATACTCATCAAGCACCTGAGTAATTGGTAAATTTTTGTTAGGATCCTTGATGCATTAAGGCTTCTTTTGGTAGCCAAATTGGTATATTCTGCGTATCATCAGGGACCTCACTACCTCAGGGTAATCCAAATGACCTACTTATGTGGCTGAAATGGATTTTCCAAATGCATTTAGCCAAACACTTACCAAATGGACACTAAATATCTAAATTCAAAACATCCCTACACACAGTCCCTCGATCCTCCTAGGATGAGCTTTTGGCTTACTTATATGGCTAAAATGGATTTTCTAAACACATTTCAGTCACAGAACAGGCCTATATATCGAACTTCTACAAAACCCCACATGCAGTCCCTCTTAGGAACTAAGTCATCTCTTAGACGCCTACAATTTATTCCCAAATTAATTCTGCTGTATCCCGTTTATAATTTTAACGAGAACTTGCCAAAACCCCATCTAGACACTGGGACCCTTTAAACCTATCACCTTGAAGCTTTTCGTAACTCCCACCATCACACAAAAAAGGTCATGTTTGATCAAACATACAGCTTTTTACCTTTAGCAAGGTACACATGTTTTACGTCACAACTAACAAAGTATACTCACACTTAATTTCCTTTTGGATAGTTTAACTAAACTAATTATACTAACCTCGTTTCTTACTTATTTTGGAGAATTCTTTGCATAATTATCTTTATTTAATCAAATACTCTGTATGATATTTCTGGAACCAAAAAGCTTTTCAAACATGACAATTTTATATGACAGGAGTATTTTAGAACCCAGAATGCTGGAATGCTAGATATATAAAAGAACAACACGAGCATTTCTCCAAGCCTTAATCTTTTTTTAAGAGTCTATAGCAGGAGGGTTTTGAAACGAAAATTTGAGTGTATTTAGTCTATATCATGATACATACTTCGTATTATGTATGGAATATTATATATATGTGTGTGTTGTGTGAACGCTTAACACTTCGATCATTGTTTTTATTGTTTCTAGCAACATATTATTCGTCAAGAAAACTAAGCCCTAAAAAGCCTCCCTTTCCAAAACCCCCATCTAAATAGAGCCTTTAGTAATAAGCAATGCTGCAAGGTGAGGCTTAATTTCTAAATGAAATCCATGAAGGTAAAGGCAGGGAGCAGCCATTCAAAGAATAAAATGTAGGTGACCAGGGGAACAATAATGAGTAATACTAGGTGGGGAATTCCTAGAAGAGATTGAAATAACTAATTAAATAAAACTCACAAAACTCACATTGTGTTTCAAGAAAATAACAGGTGACTCTTGATCACCTGATCCCTTGCATAGCTTCGAGAAACCCTTCTCTATGTACTTACAGCTGCCACAAGAGGTGCGGTAGAAGTCTACCACTACCAGAGACCCGCTTTTCTTGGCCTTCTCCATTATCCTCAAGAACTCCTCATCCTTTGTAAATTCTCTCACGCAATCAACAGGACAACACTCATCATCATCATCTTCCTCTTCAAACAGCTCATCAACATCACCATTGTTTACACTCCATTTTAACCTAGCTCCACCACTTCTGGTCTCAGCATTTGAAACTCCACTAATTAACACACCTCTTGACTTCACCTGACAAGATTCAATCATATTTGTGTGTCTAATACTGGGAGTTGAGATCGATCCAGCTACAAACCCTAGTTTATCATCAATGTTAAGGTTGCCTCTAGTAAATCGGAAAGGGGACCTCCAACTAAGAATACCCTGCCTTTGCATGATCGCAAGAAGCAAGTCTTTTTGCAAAGTCGAGACCTTTACCATCCCCCGCGAAGATTATTCCAAGAATAAGTCATGGAACGTGCGTGAATAACCTTCTCAGATCACCAACTTTCCTCGGTCAAATTCCTCATGCCATACATTAATGGTCATGATGCCCACTGAATTGAAGCTTCAAATTCTCAGAAATTTAAAACCAGATGACTGGGATTTCCAAATTACAAAAATTGACGAATCGAGATCCGTAAGGTAGAGTTCTATGCTCGTGATTTAACAAAGTCCCGAGTGAAAAGTCTTACCGGTATGCAGCAGTGGCGCGAGACAGTTGAAAAATAAACAAATTTGGATACGGCGCGATAGGCCATTATAGGTTTACGGATTTGGTCATTTGGTAGATTGATTGTATTCCAAGATCATGGTATTGCCTATTTGGGTTTGCTTTTGTTTAATTATTATAAAGTCATTTTGTAAAATGATTTTAGAACAAAGGGGATTATTGTAGAAAAATTGCTTTTGGCTCTAAAGTTGAAAGTTCAACTAAAAAGTGATTATTGCAAAAAATACAAAATGCCCTTAACTAACTGGAATGCTAAGTTTAAAAAATCGAACTCGGAGGAACCCGGCCACATGATTGGGTCACAGGTCAACCCGGATCAAATGGGTCAACCCGGATCAAATGGGTCAACTCGGTCAACACCGGAAAATGGGACAACGATTTTTTTTTTATATCTATTTTTTTTCAAAGAGATTTTTATTGAATAAAGATTGAGTACAATGCGAGAAAGAGAAAGAAAAAAAACACATAACAGAAGAAATTTTAAAACAAAGCTAGCCCCAAGGAAATAATTTAGATTGTGATCTAGTCTTCATGCTGTGCCGCCGTTTGTTTTTCTGAGGTTTCCGATAAATCTTGAGTTGTGTATTCAGGTTCTCTGTTGGTAGACAATTATCCACAGTGATGAATTGAGATTTATGGCATATTCCTCTGTTGAATTTAGAGTCTCGAATGTCTTCCTGATTGGAAATTGGAAGGCGACGGTCACTTTCAGTTGCGTGCCCCAGAAAGTCATCTGAGAAAAAGGAATCATCTGAAGGATCAATATGTCTATATAATACTACTACCTCTGTCTCATTTTATGTGTCTCACTTTGACTTGACACGATTATTAATGAGATGTTTGAAAAAGTGGAAGCAGTGGTTGGTGTTTAAGTATAATAAAGTGAAATGGTGTAAGCCACATTTTTTTTTCAAAACAGGAAATGAGACACCTATTTTGGGACAAGCCAAAAAGAAAAGTATGACAGGTAAAATGGGACAGAGGGGTAAGAGGCATATAATTATATACTCCCTATAAAATTATAATAAAACGTAGTTATTATATATTTATAATAAGCAACTAACTATACTACGGGGTACTAAGTAAGCATTTAATACACTCTCATAATACTTCAATGTATGATTTTGATCATATAAAAATATATAACGATATTTTTATATGTATTTTACATTTATATATTATAATTTGGCATGAATTTCATTCTTAAATAAATATATAAATATATTACATAGTTTTTCTTTTTAGGGTATTGAAATTGCAATTATATTGATTAAAAATGAATTAAAATAAAACAAAATTGGAAAAACACCCAAAACCGGGTTTTCTCGGGTTTTTCGGGTTTCTTGGGTCCGGATCCGGACTAGTTTTTCCCGAGTCAGCCGGGATTTTCCGGTTTTTGGCCATTTCTAGGTTTTGAACAACCGAATCGGGTTTTTGTCTGGGTCGACCCGGACGGGTCGGGTCGATTTTTTGAACATAGCTGAAATGTTGAGCTATTATATCACCGTATTTATTACGGAGTATCTTTTTCCTTACATGTGTTTGGCAATGTTACTTTCAAAAGATAATATCTCTTACAATGTTGGTTTATTTATGTATTGGTTTAATTTGAAGAAAACTATGATAACATCAAAATGTTTTAAATTAAAAAAGTCCGTATTTATATTTCTAATGCAGTGACATTTCCAAAATCATCAAATAAGTATATACTTTCAATGGTGTCATTTGACACCACATGTTAACAACTTAACACCATGTCCTTGTTTGCTTCTCATTCCTAGTAATGTAATTTTATTACTAATTACTTTTTTTTGATAAATTCTTATAGACGGAACAAATTGTAAAAAGAAAGTCATTATTATCAAAATAATTACAAAATGCATACGTACAATTAACTCATAATTTAGAGGAAATCATATCTTCTATCATGAACAGTTTCTCTTATTAAAGGTGCTGGATGCATGGTTTTCCTCCATTCATTTTATAATTTAGGATTTTTTACAAAAATACTATTAAAATAAAAATTATTTACACGAATATAATTATTAGTTACTACAATGTAGTGTCATAGTAACTCAAGTTTAAAATTTAAACATAAGTTATTATGACTTTATTACTACTGTAGTCACTACTTATATTTTTATAAATTGTCTTCATTTAAGGAGTATTTGAATCTGATTCTAAAACTACTTCTGCTCCTTTAGGGAGCAGAAGCAGAAGTTGGAGTGTTTGGATAAAAGTGCAGAAGTGATTCTCATGCTCTATTTTACTCATATAATAAGTTTTTCTGGAAGCTGGGGGAGACCAGCTTCTGAAAACCGATTCTGATTCTGCTTCTACTTTAAAAAAGAAGCAGAAGTAGATTCGGTTCCAAACACCCCCTTAGTCATAAATATGTACTCCATACTACGTAACTTATATTTGAGGTATGTCAATAACTCCATACTCCCTCTGTTAGAATCCCACACCGGAAAAGTTTGAATCAACAAAGTGTTATATTGAGACATGAACTACTTCTCCTATTAGGTTGACCTTTTAGGATAGAACCTCGATCTTAACATGATATCAGAGCCAAATCGATCCATGGTGTGGACCCCCTTATGAAAAATGACAACACGATTATAGAAAAAAATGACAACGACGAACCGACGAAAAAAAAGAATGACGACACGATCCAGACGAAGTGTTTGGTCTTGAGGAGGGGTGTTAGAATCCCACACCGAAAAAGTTTGAATCAACAATGTGTTATATTAAGACATGAACTACTCCTCCTATTAGGTCCATCTTTTAAGATGGAACCCCGGGTCTTAATACCCATTTTTTTGTTTGCTACACTTTCCATTTTTGGATGTATTAAAAAATTTGTTACATTTTTTTTTGGTAAGTTTTTCATTTAAAAGTACTTAAGTACCCTTAGTTTTTCTACATTTTATCTTCTCTTTCAAAATTCCTTTCATTTTTTCTACATTATTCATTATACCTACTATTTCACTCTTAAAAAAAGTGTCAAATATCAAACAAAAACAAAAATGATCTTTGTACCCACTCTTATACTCACTTTGTACTCACATATGTTTGTGAAGTGTTTTTTTTTTCTGCGAACCCCGGTTCACTAACAATATTTTGCACAAACAATATATTATCTGTGAAGCAGGTTCACAGATAAAAAAATATTCACAAATATGATGGGTATAAAGTGGGTATAAGAATGAATATGTTCAACAAAAAAATATAGGATACATTCTTTTCACACAATTTGACTTCCTCTTCTTTTTTTTTTTTTCTCATGTACTGTATTCCGTATATTCTGTGGAGTAATTTTCTACCTACTCAACCAGAAATCCAGAAATCTTTAGCTGTCTCGCCCCCATCAACAATCAATGCGCCCAGCTCTTGCCGGCAGGTAACAATCCTCTTCGTTGCTACCAATCAATTTACTTCTTCGTGATTTTTCATCATTTACCTTTGAATATATTCCTCCGCATTTAATTATTCTGATATAATTTCTCCCCATTTCTGTTTTACGAAGTATTATCATTTCATAGCACCCATTCTCACTGTGATCTCTGATTACTATCTTTATTATCCTTCACCGCATCGTCCTCTCTCTACGCAGTTAGGGCGTTCTAGAAATCACCGCCGGCAGCAGCAGCCATGGCCGACTCCACTCAGCTCAAAGCCGACGCTCTTATGGAGCAGATGAAGCTTCACCTCGCCACTGAAGCCGGAAAAGAACTGATCGAGAAAATTGGCCTCGTTTACCAGCTCAATATCGCCCCTAAGGTGCTTTTCTTCTAATCGCTGAGTAATTTTTGCTTTTGTTTCTGCTATTTATTGTTTTTTTTTTACCAAAAAGGCTCGATTTTGATGATGTCTGTTGGTTTCACTTTGATAGAAACTTGGGTTCAACGAAAAGATTTATGTCGTTGATCTGAAGAAAGGGGAGGTCAAAGAAGGTCAGGGCTTCTGATTTCCTGCTAGATTTAATATTACCTCCGTCCCACTCAACTTTGCCAAGTTGATGTTAGGTGGGAAATTAGAATAGTAAAAACTGGGTGATTGAGGTTTGTGTGAGGAGAGAAATGAACAGAACCACAAATTCATCGCTTTTAAGGGAAAGTGACAAAGTTTATTGGGACAAACAAAAAGGGAAAGTTGTCAAAGTCCAGTGGGACGGAGAGAGTATATAATTGAACATTTGAACACTATGAGTGAAAAATGGTTGTCTTTGGATGAATTCAGGAAAGTATGAGGATGGAAGGCCTGATGCAACCTTTTCCTTTACTGATGAGGATTTTCTAAAAATTGCAACAGGGAAGATGAATCCTCAAATTGCTTTTATGAGGTGCGCCTAGTTTTGGTGGTTTGCATTTTGAAGTAATTTGTTTTTTACTTTGTGGAGGAAGAAAATAGTTTTAATTCATACAGAAATGTTTGGCAAGAAAATTAATAAAAAACAAGTGCTTTCAAGAGTATAAAACTCTTGTATTGCGTAGTTTAGAAAACATCATATTGGTACTTATTAAAGAAGGCACATACTTATAAAAGTACTTAAGGAATAAGTCATCCTGGTAAAATCTGAGTTGTTTATGATTTTGTTTGTCAGGGGTGCGATCAGAATCAAGGGGAGTATCAGTGCAGCTCAAAAATTCACTCCAGATATTTTTCCAAAACCATCCAAGCTGTGAACAAGGAAATGATCAATGGACTGTACCTTTACGATGGATGCCATTTCACAGCCATTCTGCTAATGTTACTCCCTAGCATCTAGATTCTAGAGTAAACTGTTGCTTGCTAAGTTCTTAAAAAGAAAAAGGAAAGGATTTGAATTTCTCATTCATATCATATAAGAATGTATGTTAGCTAATGTGACATGGTGCTTTGGGGCATTGCATGATTATGTTATGTTATACTCCTTATAAAAGTTTGCATTTCACTTGGAATAGTAGATTCATTTTTCTTTGTTTTACTCAAGTTACACTTAGAGCCCACTTGACAGGGGATATTTGGCTGATATGGCTGTTATGTTTTCTGAGGTTTTAGCCAATCAAGTAAACTAATTATTCCTCAGTGAGCTAATTATTCCAACCAATCAAGTTTACTAATCTGTCGTGCAATCAATATTTAGGACTATATGTGGGTGTCAGGATTCAGGAACCAGTGTATGTGTAACTTATGAATGGTTTTGTACTTTAGTTGAGTTGAAGCATTTGTACAGGCAATGCTGATATATACTGAGAATGGTATAGATCCAACTGGAATTAGTAATATTTTATACTCCGTAACAACAAGTTGTACCCACCCCTTATACCCACCCACCTTATACGGTTATACCCACTTTGTGAAGGTCTTTTTTTGTCTAAGAAGTTTATGAGTATTATATATATGAATCACTTACACCATCCTTCCACCAAAACAAAGACTTGGAGTTTGTACTAAGTGCTCTATTTATGTGTTAATTTTTGTTTCAATCACATGCACTGCACTATGGGAGAATACACTTTTTGTGTTAGTTGAAAGCTATGAATGTCAAATTCCTGAATGAAAGAGTACTAGCTGACATGAAGGCATGAAGTATTCAAACCTGACTGCGGTTAAGGAATAAATAATAGACCATTTTGCATTAATAATAGGCCTGATGAGGATTAACTTATACGAGTACATAAGAAGTGTTAAATTTTCTTCTTCCCACCAACGAGGTACGATAGAATCCAGAAAAGTATTTTAATTCGCAACATAATGTAAGGTCTAACCAGAAGTTAAATTTCATTACTTCCAAAAAAACACTTCATTGCATAAAAGAATCATAATCCCCTCAATAAAAATATTTTGTTTATAAGTGCAGTTTTGAGGCAGTCATAACCCCCTCAATGAAAATTGGTTTGAGCACATTTCTGAGTATTCACTTTGGCCATTGTTCACGCCCCTGTTTGACTACCGCTCGCGGGGCCGTCATCTACTCCCGTCCCGGGGCGCTGAGGGGCTTTTGTTTTCGGAGGTTTCATTGGAAACATGGTCTTCCCAAAGCACTTAAGCCATGTCGTCCGCACTAAGAAATGTCCGGCTTCGTCTCTATCCCCAATTTTCATAGCAGCAACTTCTGGTTTATTTCTATCTTCCTCGATTCGTTTCTATTTTTTTTAGTTTCGGTGTTATTATTATTTATACATAATAATACATGTTCTATCTTTCCCGCCTGAAACTCCATGTCAGAAAGAGACATTAAAAAAAAAAGCAAAAAAAGTGTATGCATAGCGCTACACCAATTCTATTTGTAGGACAATGATGAAGAATAACACGACGAAGTCAACTTTGGAAGCAAAATGGCTCTTGTGACCCCCACAAGTTATGCTTAATAACTTAACTATGTGCCAATTAATTAGCATATTAACACAAGGTTAAGAATAAATGACACAATGATGCAACTATAATGCAAGTCCAAAAGGTCCAAGAACTTAGGATTATGCGATCTTCAATTGTGTATTGAATGATGGTATCTTTAAATGCAATAATCATCATTAAAAGAAAGTAAACTATCAACTTACACGCGGAAGAAGATGAAGGGAAATAGGGAATGAAGTCAGGTGAGTAACGCTAGCGCCAATTTTCGGATCCGGAACCTCCGCCTTGCTTTGCAGCAAGGTAGGGTGCCAGGATTTGGAGGGCCGTTCGATCAAACAACCAACGGTCGTAGATCTTGGTGGACCGCATCTCGAGGCGTCGTCTTCCTCATCTGACCGTCCATTGCCGCAAGGCACCTCTGCCGCACAGCAGAGGATCTCAATCCCCAATTTTCTGGACCGGGTGGGTTCTTAGTCACATCTAACATTAACCAATCTATTGTAGGTTTGAATGCTTTCAAACCTAAGGGAGACACTGAGTAAAGTTAAGAGGTTAGGCCGTCATAAACCACATGTCTTTTATGCTTTTAAGAATTTCAAAATAAATTAAATCTGTCTATCACCATTATTTAAACATGGATTGCAATTTTGGAGAATCAAAACCACACATAAGTACATAACCGAAGAACCAATGATTTTTTCTGGATTACCATAAGGATAATCACAAACAAATAGGACACAGTAGCACACGAAAATCACCTTGCTTTATAGTACGTGTCATTTATTCCAATTCTGTTGAAGTATTGGCATGGCAATAAAAGCTAAAATCACAATGTCTTTAGTTCCATATAGTTTATGTTGCTGCCCGTCTCAGTTCTGAAGTGTTTTCAAGAACTTCAATTTCAAGTTCCACAACTGTTGTGGAGGAGAACTCAAAAATAAAGGAAGGTGGGTTGAAATTAGCAATTGATACAGTTATGGTAAATCAAAGAAGATATAAATTAAAAAAAAATCAAATGAATTGTTGGTATAAGTTTGAGAATGGTAAATAACTTACATGAAGAAAAGGAGCTAGAATTGGGATATTTCTTTCGACAATCCCTATGAACATATTTCTAATCGAAACAGGTACGGCGTCTTTTTGGGTTTCCAACTGTTGTAGAGCAGCACCTGCAAATGAAGGAAGTGAATAGTAATTATGAGCTTTAGTTAAGATGAAAAGAAGAAGATAGAAAAGAAAAGTGCTCCTTAACACCAATGTTATACTTTAATGTCTTCTGCCTTATCCTGAGCCTTCTGTTTTACTCGTTTTAGGGGGCGTTTTAGGGGTGTTTGGATCTGATTTTTAAAACTGATTCGGCTCCTTTAGGGAGCAGAAGCAGAAGTTGGAGTTTTTGGGTGAAAGTGCAGAAGTGATTCTGGTGCTCTAATTTACTCCTAGAATCAGTTTTTTGGAAGCTGAGGGGGACCAGCTTTTGGAAACTAATTCTGATTCTACTTTGAAAAAGAAGCAGAAGCAGAAATCAGTTCCAAACACCCCCTTACTCTTCTACTCTTGTCTTCGGTAGACTAATGTGCCCGACCTTACTTATGGTTTTTTTACAAGAATATTACTAAAATAAAACTTATTTACATAAATATGACTATTCATTACTACAACGTAGTGTTGTGGTAACTAAAGTTCAAAACTTGAACATGAATTACTATGATTTCATTACTACTCTAGTAACTAATCATATTTTTGTAAACCATCTTTATTTTGGTCATATTTATACAATTATTTCTACTTATGGCCAAACAAAGCTCTCTGAGTCTTTTGTAGCATCAGATTCCTGTGTTTCCTCCGGTCTTCTAGATTGAGGTGACTGACACAACAATGTCCTCCTCTTCCTCCTCCTCCACAACCAGGATTTTCTTAATGTTTTGGAACTATTTTTATTTATTTCAATTTATTTGTTCTGAAAAAATGAAGGAATTTTTTTATAAAGCCTTTTCAATTTGGAAATGTTTATTGGAGAAATAAATCCATTTCAAATTGGCAATATCAGTCTTTCTAAAACACAGAATCTTTAATGCCATGTGTTTCTTGTGAAAATGGCATTTTGGCAAATATTACCATTTTATGGCACCAAATCAACGAACATATTAAATCTATTATTAAAATGTTATGAAATACAATTAATAATCTATTGATGTCAGTTCAATATTGAACAATAATTATTATTAGTATATTTAAGCAGTTCAACATGCCACATATTAAAAAGTAACATATTCTCCTAAAATAACTTGAACAATATAGATATAATTGAATTAATAGTAATCTCTAACAAAAATAAATAAAACTATTCAAACAACATGGATATAAAATCATTTATTCCTAATATGATATTGTGTATTTAGTCATTTTTATAATTTTTTAAAAATTGAATAAGACTTTCGGACAAAGTTGTGTGTCTCGTGGAATTCTTATGTAGATACACATGTCACATAAGTGTATCTATCTTCACTCGTCAACTACTTAGCAGCCCAGCCACCACGACTTGCAAGCTCTTGGAACAAAATAGACTTGTTTCTTGACATTTGTACATTATTCAGTACTCATTAGTCATTAAGGTTAACGTAGTAGAAACATATAAGGTTATAGTGAGTTTGAGAAATTGAGCCTTAATTTTTATATTTGTAACCAACCTAAGTATTAATTTTGGGCTTCACAATTGTAATGAAATTTTACAATATATTAGAATTAAAATTAATTGTTGAGTAGAGAGTTGGTACGGTATTATACCGGTATACCGCAGTATTTCAAAACGTTTACCGTTACTGTATCGAAATAGATCGGTACGGTATGATACCGTAACGAAAATGACGGTATACCAATATTTCGGTATTTTTCGGTACGATAAGTGCGATATATATCAATTTTTCTGTATTTTTGCCCACCCCTGTTATCCTTTTCTTCGGCCTTCTTTCGAATTTTTATTTTCTGTGATTTTTTCTGTAAAGGCATTTTCTCTGCCCTAATCGCTACAACCATCCCCCAATATTCTCAAAGATCCCAGTTTTAAGCATGTCGGTTCAGCTATGTGACGATCCATTTAAGACTATAAGTGAAATAGACCATTGTGATCTATTTCCTCGGGAATATGGTTTCCACCTCGCGTGTCTCTGCGAAGATTGTGTTCCAAAACTAAGAGAGCTCGCTGCTTTTGAGGAAGAGATGAAAAACAAGCGGAAGCTTGTCAGTGTATGTAATAGTACTTCAATAAAGGAAGCGAATAAAGAGGCATAAACGCATGAATCGATCAATAATTCTGCTTCGTATGATTTGGATGATTTGATGTTCAAGCAGGCATTTATATACCGAATGAATTGGTCACAAGATCGTTGTATGTTTCTGTCCACCGCCGTTGAGCGCACGAAAAAGACGCTGGATTTACTTCTCAATAACCTCTCAACAGTATCTAAGGTTCTTATATTCACCCTTAAGCATAAATATAAGTTTTTGAGTACTTATTTTAATGAAATATCATCATTCCCTAATAGGAGTTATGTTAGTACTAGTACTATTGTTACTGTTAGTAGGGGGAAATAATTCAAATAACATAACTTCGGCTGAGGTGTGAGCTTAATACCCCAAAACATTACTTTACATCAAAGTAATATACTGTACATGATTATAAGTTATCATGGCTTGATTCATGTTAGCCGACCTAAAATCTTTTGGGGATAAAACTTTGATGTTGTTCTTGTTGTTTTACATTACAAGTAACATCAACACCATGAAGTGAGAATATTTATTTTAGAAATATAAGCTTGGTAATTAGTATGCGAAATCCACCCTCCTAGATGTTCATAGTATTTAAATCACGAACTTAACATCATAAACTCATGTTTGTGCCTGAAGTAACCTATATCCATGATGGTAAGATAACCTTTAGTATATAGTTCATCATATTTGTCTTACACATTCAAGTTTGGGATATTTAGCTAATTAGCTCACACATGTTCAAAGTTTGCATCATTTATTTATTGTTTATTTCAGAAGTCTGGAATCTCACTTACGCTTAAACCAAGTGCTTCTGTAGCCAAACTGGAACAAACTGATTTGGTAATAGCTAGATTGCTAGTACAGCATGGCCTGATGAATGACTTTGAGAATGAAAATGCAATTGAGAGTTGTGAAGTAGAAGAAGATGATGATGATGATGAAGGGGAGGATGAGGAAGAGGAGGAAACTGATGAGGTTCTTCCTATTGGGTCTAACATCAGTTCTCTGGTAAGATAAAAAATAATCTGGCATCATAACCAACACTTTAAGCATTATGCACTAATAGTTTTGTTCCTTAGTTTCTTGGAAATTTGTCTTGTGTTCATTTTAATTGCCCGGACTTGAGCTCTTTGTTTCGGCAGCTATATTATTACGGGCAAACTAAGGTTAAAGATGTTGCTCATAGCCTACTTGAGAAGATTGATAATCTAGATAAAGAACTCCGGGAGGCTAAGAAATCTGCTGTAGCAGAAAATAAACCAATGGATCCCTTGGTTCCCATGAAGTGCATTGAAGAACAAATTAGGGTAACATTGTCTCTACGTAGAGTTTTGTTCCTTCAATTCCTGCATATTTTGTTTATGTAGTTGGGCTAATTGATATGCATGGCATCTGCAACATTTCAGCATATAAAGATGTAGCCGGTTGAGGAATTGCACGATGAAGTTAAAGAGCTGGTTGTTGAACTTACCGACAGGCATGAGAAAGTGGGGAGGGCTCTCACAGCATTGGATGACATCTCCACTACTTGTCGTGCTATGATTAAAATAAGGAATGAGTTCTTGTTAAAATACAATACGTGTGATGTATGCATACAATTAATTGATCTGTTAAATCAGGTCTCATCTACTATAATATAAAAGCAAAATCCCTGAAAACACTGTTTTTTCAACAGTGTTCCCGCCCATATTTCTAAGGCAGGAGTTCACAAGATGAAATTACATAAATAGCCTTGTGAAGGAGCTCTGTGAAGGGTAAAATTGCACAACATGAATAAATTATTACATTTCAACAGTTCAGCCGAAAAGGTCTCTTCAAATGTACTATTTATGTTTCTTGGTACACGTGATGATAGGAATTTACTACTTTAAAAAGATGAACAGAACAGTAAAAAGTTAATCACGCGTGCTTGGGCCTTGCCATGGCCAGCCTGTTTTTTGGGACCATCAATTCTAGCCGCCAGTCTGTTTCTTGAGACAAGTGAAACTTCTTGTGGAAGAGTCATTTATTTTTCCCTATAAATACTTGCACCCTCATCTGAAATGAACACTCAAAGTCGTTTGCCTCTTCTGTTTCATATGAGCTTCTATTTCATTTAAGTTTTAACCTGCAATAAGCAAGGATATTTCTTATTATATAAGAGTGTATATGAAAAAAAGCAACCAACAGTCCAACAGAAGGCGAAGAGCAAAAGAGCACACAACTTTAGAAGTACAAGCAAAAGATGTAAAAAGCATGGACTTGGAGCAAATTCTTTGATTTTGCAAAGAAGTACTACGTATATATTTATATAAATCTATATATACACACACATAGGCATTTATAAACACACACACACATATATATACATAAAATATATATTTATACATGTATATGTATACATTTATATCCATATATATACACACTCAAAGTATACCAATATAGGCTGTTGAAAGGAGAAAAACAGATGTACATACATCTTTAGAAGTACAATCCTAAGAAAATCAGATCTGCTGCAAGTTATTTGTTTTTAAAAAGATGGAAGCATCTATGCAGCAATAGGTCTCTCCAGGGCTAATCCCTAATGATAATCTGCAGCTCATGCAAAATCACACAAAAAAACTTCTATCCTAAACTCATTCTTTAATTTACTAATAATACAATTGATTAAAAATAGCAATAAACTGTTTTTCTAGCCACATGGTATTAGTTTTATAGATTATAACTAATAATACAAACTCGAAATCGCAAGAATTTTCCTTGAATATAGTTAAATAAGAAGGCAATCCACTCTATATCTTGAAAATATAGCAATTTAGCTGATTTCGGAAGATTTCCTATAATAGTCATTTGTTGGCAATACATGTTCATAAACTATTTGAAGTTGAACTGCTGAATCCATAAAAAGTATTTACTAATTGGTTGTTGAGAAAATATAAAGAAAAAAATATACATGTAAACTGATGAAATAAGAAGTTTTTATTATGACATGAAGTTCAATTAAATAGTACTTCTCTTCATTTGAACCAAATTTTGCAATGAAATAAAGTTGTATGAATATTGTTTTTGGTAGATGCATTATCATTCAACGTGTGTGGTAAAAGAAGGAACAAAAAAATCAATGAAAGAAAAACCTCAAATCCATTAACAAAAACATCAACCACATGTTACTTTGCATTAAAACATCAAGCTCTCCTCAACAATTTCACTTAAAATTAATTACAGAACTAAAATGCTAATTGTCTACAAATACAATGCAATAATAGTTTTACCTAAGCCAGTTATCTTAAAATTAAAAGTAGATGTATGAACAACTAGAGAGTCAATCTTTACTTACTTGCATTGCATGTAGGCATGTCACATGCCCATCAAATGCTCTTAGCACATGAACATTAATACCATGTTCAAAAACATTATAGAACCTGCAAAAAAAACACAATACCACATGTTAAATGTCTACACCTTGAATGCGAACTTGGAAGGAAAAATGTAGTTTTTGTTATAGAACTAAGGTTTAACCAGATTAAAATCATTACGAGCAATTTTTAAGCAAGGTTTTAATCAGCTTTGGTTTAGTAAAAACAATTTCCAATTTAACCTAAAAGAATTTAGGTGAATATTTGAAATTGAGATTAAACAAATATGACCTTACGAAAATAATATTCTATCAAAATTTTTATTGAAAAATTTATTTTAGAAATCAGCTATGCCAAATGTACCTGTTCAGAAATCAAACATGCATTTATCATTTGGATGATAAAAAACATAAACAGATGCAGCCCTTTTAGTGCTCTTCGAAGTTTTCTCAAAGGATTCTTCATTGTCAAAAAACGTTTTTATATAGCAAGGTAGAATATCTAATGCTTCAAAAACCTCAGAATTAGTCCTATTATAACAGATCTAAAAAACATGTATTTGAGTTTATTCAAAAAAAAAAAAAAACTCTACGTATACGCGAACCTTCCGACTAACTGGATAGGTTTTTTAATAAATTGATTCACCATAGTTAATCATAATTTGTGTTTGAACTTATCATACATGGATGAACACCTATACGAACCAATACCTATAATAAACTGATGGAGCTACCCAGCATGTCCGCATACGAGCGACAATCTACCCGGACCAGCAAAACGGCCTACTGCAAGTATCTCCAGGGGTCCTCCCTCTTCCGAGACTTAGGCTGAACATCGTAGAATCTCAGATAGAAATTCTACCACGGAATCGTCACTCCAGACCGTCGGAAGAATTTAAACGCTCCACTCTCAAACGAAGAAGGAATCGGCACGCCTCTCTCTCAAAAGAACAATCTGGACGCTAGGGCAACTGCTAGGACGGATTATTTCATATCCTTGGACGGATGTTGACTTAGTTGGGCCACCGGCGGCCCAAACATTCCCCATTTTCTATTTTCTTTCATTTTAGTATTTTACAATTTAGGATGTTTTCTTTTGTACTGTTTTCAGTCCCAGACCACACCAGACCAGACTTAAACAGATTAGATCAGACCAGACCGGATTTAAACAGATCAGACCAGATCAGATCAGACTTCCATAGTTATAAAATACACAGAGACCAGACGTTTCCAGACCAGATCAGATCAGACCAGACTTAAACAGACCAGACCAGCAAATTTCAGTCCAAAAGAAAACATCCTTAAAGCCATGCTCTATCACTCTATACTACTACCTCCGTGGCCCCGTCCCACTATGTTCGGGACAATTCGGTTTATGATAGATATTCAGTATCTACATTAATATTGTAGATAAACAGTATATAAACGTTTAAAATATTCAACTTGAAAATACAAATTTTTTCAACTTGAAAATACTATATATAAATGTTTAAAATTCGGACATTAAAAATACATATTCAGAAACTACATTAAAATATTTTCCCAACAAATGAACAGTATATAAATGTTTAAAATACTCAACTTAAAGTCTATTTCGTAACATTGAAACTAGATTAATCAGATAAATATGTTAAAATTAATGAAATTATGACTTGAAGTTAATAAACTTGATTTGACCGAATCTACTAAATTAGGACAAAAATGTATTTCAAATATAATTTATTAACAAAATAAAAACTACTCCCTCCGTCTCGAAAAATTTCGCTAAATTGACTTTTCTTGATCAATGACAAATTGACAATCACTTTGACCAATGATATTTTTTAATGCAAAGTAGATAGAAAAAAAGGACACGAGGTATTGTCAGCCGAAGAACCCAGAGAAAATTAGGTGTCGGGTTGCTGATTGGAGAAGGGATTGGGCCGAGTCACACATTATTTGTGATGGAGATACTAATTACTCCATATAAATTAAAATGAAAGAAATACTGATTTTGTCTGTATTTTACTTAATAAAAATAAAATACTAATCTTATACGAAGTATATATTTTAAACACAATTTTAAACTATTCAATTAATAATAATAATAATAATAATAAGACACTTAACAGAGTTATTTCTTCTATCATACTACATTTGTCCCGTTTAAAGGTTCTCATGAAAAATTTGTATAATTATTTAGACAATTACGGAGTATTAAATGAGGCAATTCAGGTATTTTTGGAGAAATAGTTATGATGTGTATATAATATAGTGGGGTTCATGTTACTATGATATTATAAACGTATAACTTTAATATTTACGTAGTAATTATTAAATTGTCATTAAAGAATGTTAATTGTTACCAAAAAAATTGAAATGGAAATCTTTATATGGGGTGTCGAAAAAAAGAAAGTGACAAGATCAGAATGGGACATAGTATATGATAAAGATATCGAGGAAAGTATTAATCTAACTGAGTGTAAGATAAAAAGTATCAATTCCAAGACTTTAAGTAACGCCTTATATTGTTAGGCTTTTATTAAGAGACCATTTGGCAATAATGAAATTGACTAATTCGGCAGAATCTACTAAAATTGATGAACATTTGGCTAAACCAGTTGAATTGACTGAATTTGCTTGATTATGACAAATTATATTTAAAATATCTTTTAGGGAAAATGATCAAATAAACTCTTCCGATTATTTGCAATCCATCACCCAAGCCCTTTTACTTAGAAAAGCATCATATAAGCAGCAAATAAATCTTTTTTATTTTTTTATAAAAAAATTAGGGCTATTGATAAATCTTATAAAAAAATTGTATATATTTAAAAACTAATGTAATAATAATATAAAATTAGTATAAATTTAAAAATAGATAAATAATTTAAAAATGTAAAAATAAAAATAATAAAATAAGAAAATAAAAATGTAATTGAAAAAACGAAAAAATTTAAATAGGTGTAGAATATAAAAATAATTTCAAAAAATCAAAGATTTTGACTTTGACATTCTGATTTTTTTCACAAGTTTTATCTACGCATCTTCAAATTTTAACACATAGTTTTAGAGCTTTTCAATATAAATACCTACTATTACAGGTCAAAAATTGTTGAAATGGCTAAATTGATCTATTTTTTGCAAGTAAATGTATTTATATAACACTTTTTTAGTATAGGGCTTAAGTGTCTGCTTGGAAATAGTAGAAAGACTTATTTGACCCCTTTTCCTATAATTTATTTTGAAAATAAAAGAAATAATTATATAAAATATCTAAAATGGTCAGCTGCATTAACTTTAGGAAAACAGTAGAAGGTCATTTTGACCCCATTTCGCCTGGAAAATAATTTAAAACTTTACTTATTTTCTCTATTATACAATCCAGCACGTGAAATTAAAAATTTTGTGTTTGATGGGCAGAAAAAGATTGTTGATAAAGTCGATAAGCCGAAAAACATGATTACCAAACAAGTCCATAGATTTCGAA